CGATTTATGAGCCATATCGATTGGCCATTTAAACTCTATTCGATCGCTCTTTAACTTTAATTCCAATTCCCATAATGTCTCGGATACATAGCAAATGAATTTACATCAGAATTTGAACTTAATCAAAAAACTAAATTGAATCCGAAGATAAAACACTGAAAAATGACTTACCGAGTGCGAATTTGACAAAATGAACTTCAGAATCAGACTCAGGACATCGAAAAACATAAAATATGACTTTTAAAAAAATTGACTTTTTTGTCAAAGTTAACGTTCAACGGTTATACCGGTCAAAGTCAACGGTTAACGGTCAACGGTTTGGGTCAAAAGTCAATTAGGCGAGTCAAAGTCAATGGGTCAGTTCAAGTTGACTTGATTCAAGACCTATTTGACTAAATCGGTTCCAGAAGCTTCTTGGACCTGCGAACGAATCCCACGCGCACTGCCGGTGCGTGGTTATGCGTACGATAGCGACAGGGATTGTTTTGACCAACTGATCTTTCTCGAATCATCTACACATTTCAATTAATCAGATTTCAACCCAAAATCACAACCAAACCACGCCAAAATTACCAAAATTCAATTGGGAACTTACCCCGATGGTGAATGGCAAAGAAGGTAACGACGACGAATCGCATTGGGCGGGTTTCGTGTACACGGCGATGGCGAGGCTGATGGGTGTGGAGGTGAAGCTAGATGGTGTCTAGGTTGGCCGAAATCATGAAATAACCGATATGACATAGGGTTATTTCGTAGCACAATTGAACGCCAAATTGCGACAAACAGCGACGTTTCAAGTCAGGACGAGGGTCGGGTTTTGTCGTCATGTGATGATGATCAAACGGAGATGGTACGAAGCTCAATGGGGGCTGGACGACGACATATTTGGCGAAGACGGCGGATAGGGCTTGGGATTTTGGGGAAATTATGAATTGGGGATTTTGGGAAAATTACGGGGGTTTTAACTTACCATGTAAAATTGGAAAATTTAGGGCTAAGTCCCTGAACTTCCCACATATTCCAAAATCGAGCTACAACCTTTAAAAATTTTACAATTTGGTCATTAACTTTTCCCTTGTTACGACTTTAATTTAATACTTTAAATTAATAAAACTTTGCCCCTAAATTGGGGTGTGACAATTCTCCCCTCCTTAAAAAAAATTCTCAAAATTTACTCAAGTCATAGAAATATAGAAACTGAGCTTCCATCCAGTCTTCATTCTTTCAGGTCTCTTTTACAGGTATATGATTCCTCTATTAGACCTTAACCGGTTGAATAAGAGTTCTAGGCAAAACTTTTCCTCATCAAAATTCCAGAATTTGAACATAATTCTCCTCGTAGAACCAAACTTACCTTAATTATCAATCCTTAATCAGAATAACACTTGCTTACTTTCAGTACAATATGCGGACATAACTATTTTCTTTTATACAAACAACATCACCTCGAGATTTACACTTTTACCAAGTATTCAAACATTTACTTTAAGCTAATACAGGTCAAAATTCTCGAACGAATAATCTCCCACGTTACTCGCAAGGTAACTTCCAAAATTAAAATGAATGCTGACATTATTCCCTTTTCACAGATTGAGTCATAACAGATAAGATACTTCGATATACTTTTTACAAAATGATTTCTTAACATTAGAGTTCCGGCTCAGAGAGTACATCCATAATCTAGGGGCATGTACAAACCAGACATCCTATGACTGTCGATCGACCGATCTACCCAGAAGACTCAACTCAACCTAAGCTCTGATAACACTAAATGTAATACCCACATACCGATGCGAAAAACCCGATCCGATATAAGGTTTCACATTAAGGTCACCGGACTAACCCATAGTAAAAATCCCAAAAAAAATTAAATTTCTATTAAAACGCGTAAAATCATAAAACAATTTATAATAAAAAAAAACAAGTTCAGAAAGAAAAAAACCATTCATACTTAGTATAAAAATCAAATGTGACCTACATGCCCCCTAATTACACTTGTACCGTACACTTCATCCCAAGCCAAAGGAACTCCCATTACAGATGTCGACAGTTGCGTCGGATCAATTCTTTTAACCTGAAATAGAGAGTAAAAGAGTGAGTTTTGAGAAGCTCAGTAATACAGAACTACCAGGTGATATTGAATGACATGCAAGTAATAGGCAAGCATAAAAATTTACTTATTGATTCATACGTCTACAGGTTTTTGGGATGAGTGAGGTTCTACTGATATTTCTTTAAGTACAAGACATGATGCTTACAGTTCAGAGGAAATGTTCAGAGGACCAGATTAAAGAGATGAGAATATGGTGTCTAGTGTGTTTCCATAAAACAAGTGAAAATGTACAACTCTTTTTAAAACAATAAAAATTTAAAACATATTTTTAAAACCATAGTAAAACCTCCAACTGAACACCTTTATGTAGTTTCCCAAAACAGCATTCATAAGGACTTACCCTAATTAGACAGCAAAGGAGCCACCCTAAGGGAATATCTTAGGTCCGTAAGGAATTACCAGCTTAATCAGAGTTGAACCTCCATACTCCAGAATCCTACCCATACAATATCCAATATAAATCAGATTTAACACTAACTGTAATATCATGATCCAGTAAAATCTCGTAAGAGTAACAATGAAATAAACCACATAACTGCCCTCCACTCGTACACCATATGCAGTCTCATGATTTACCCAAGGGAGTGTCTTGGGGTCTGAAGGCCTACCCAAGAAAGTTTCTCGGGGACTCGTAGCCTACCCAATGGTCACCTTAGGTCTGTAAAGAATTACTAACTTGAACAAAGCTGAACCTCCATACTCCAACCTACTCAGAAAATGCCCCAATAAAATAGTTCAAGTAGTAACCAATAGATCCCATGATCCATAAATCAGGAACGATTATATTTTCTAGTGAGAACTGTAATCAGAGAACACATACCATGTAGCCACAGTTCATAAGCCAATAAATCATAAATTCCGTTGAAACATATTTTAAAACTGATAAAACAATCGTATTGCACATAGGGAACACACTAGAAGATCCAATTATTACCTGGAGGTATGTAACAATTATCAAGTATGGACCATGAAACTTCTGTAATTTAATAGGATTTCAAAATTGATATCCTTATAAAAAGGGGTTTGATAGCTAATAGAGTTATCAGTCATTCAGGAAGTGATTTATCAAGATCATATAATATTCGAATATTTTTCGAAGGCGCTAAGCAATCAGGAAGGTACTCATAATCTTTTGCATCAGAGTCACTAAAGATTTCAAATATGACAGAGTGATTCCATTATTCAGAAAATCAGGAGTATTTTGAACATTTGGTTCTTGGAGAATTATTAGTAATTTAATATAATAAGGGTGAAACAATGATTCATGATATTTATGATTCGTGTCAATTTATCAGGATATCGAGTTAACTCGAACTGAATAAATCCTAGCACTATGACACATATCAATCAGTCAAATTGATGTACTTCAAAGGTATTCATACTTTAATACCAACAACTCTTGTTGATCCGGTCATCTTCAGAATCATCGTCGAACGAATTTTATGGATACGAACATATATTCCAATGGTATTTATTTATTATATATTGCAACGATATCAAGAAATGTCGATGTGTGTGATTCTTGGTTCAAAACCATTATGGAGGTACGACATATAGGTTCATCAGCATTTACAGACTTATCTAAGTCATTCACTTAATTTTAGGTCTTTGAGGGTATTTAGGTTATTTAGTAGTTAAGTTTATCCCGATCACTTTGGAGTTTCCAGAATAATCGGTCGTTTCCATAATTCATATACATACAATACTTCTATTTAGTTCAACCTGGTCATATAATTTAGTCATTTTGAGAAATTCAGACGTGTAAAGTACCTTCGATAATTTAGTCTCCGGGTGTTTGCTTAGGAAATAGGAATTCTAGGTAAGTTTGGTATTCAAGATTGATTTATTCATTTCGGAGCTTGAGGGTATTCAGTTATTATAGGACTTTGATATTTTAGATCATTTTACACTTCAGGGGCATTTCAAATAGATCAGAAATTTAATCGATGATTCCAAGGTTCAAGTTGATCAAAATATGAGTTCTCTGGACATCTCCATTATCATAGTCATCCATAGTCTTCTTTTTTTACACTTTAAGGGTATTATCGACATTTCATTCAATTATGTCAATGACATTACTTCTTATAAATTAGGCTTCAAGTGTTTATTCAAGAATCAGAGTTTATAGGCCTTGTGCTTTCTCTGAGGTTTAAAACTGATTATAAGATATTTTTCAAATAAATTAGGAGTTAACAGGTGCGTCATAAATTTTATCAGGTCAAAATACAGATTCTCGAGACAATTCCCCTATCAGGATCAATACATACCATTTTTACAACTTAAGGTATTTTCATAATTTCTTAATCAAGTATTCCATGCATTTAACCTATAAATAAATTAATCAAAATTTTGGATTATGAGATCAACTTATTACTACATAATCCATGAACTTAGAATTATTTCTGATCGATCTACTAATTTCTTTTGCGAGTAGTCTGAGTCTTCTACAATGTTCTACCTTTATTCCATATTCAGTTTAAGTCCAATGATAATTAAATACACCTAATTAACAAATCATTTCCATTTATTCATTTACCAATTATCAATGTTTTCCAAAAAGCATACAAAAGGTAATAGAGTATTATCTCGATTTACGAGCCATATCAATTGACCATTTAAACTCCATTTGATCGCTCTCAAACTTTAATTCCACGTCTCATAATGTCTCGGATACATAGCAAATGAATTTACATTAGAAGCTGAACTTAATCGAAAAACGAAATTGAATCTGAAGATAAAACACTGAAAAATGACTTATCGAGTGTGAATTTGGAAAACGGACTTTTGAATCAGACTCGGGATATCGAAAAACATAAAAATATGACTTTTCAAAAATTTTAACTTTTTTTGGTCAAAGTCAACTGTCAGACCGATCAACGGTCAATGGGTTAGGTCAAAGTCAACAGGTCGGGTCAAAGTCAACGGGTCAGGTCGGGTTGACTTGGTTCAAGACCGGTTTGATTGGACCGATTCCAAAAGCTTGTTGGACCGGCGAACGAATCCCACGTTCACTGTCGGTGTGTGTAATAGTGAAAGGGGTCGTTTTGATCAGTCGGTCTTCCTTGAATCATCTACACTTTCCAATTAATCATATTTTAACCCAAAATCACAACCAAACTACGCCAAAATTACCAAAATTCAATTGGGAATTTACCCCGATGGTGAACGGCGAAGAAGGCAATGACGACACATCGCACTGGGCGGGTTTCGAGCACATGGAGATGGCGAGACTGATGGGTCCGATGGTGAAGCGAGACGGTGTCTAGGTTGGCAGGTTTCGTGAAATAACCGATTCGACTAGGGTAATTTTGTCGTATGATTGAAAACCAAATTGTGACGAACAACGTCGTTTCACGATGGAATGAGGTCGGGTTTTGGTCGCCAGGCGACGACAATCCAAACGGAGGCGATACGAAGCTTAACGGCAGTCGGACGATTGCGTATTTGGCTAAGACGACGGCTAGGGCTTGGGATTTGGGGGAAATTGGGAATTGGGGATTTTGGGAAAATTGGGGTTTAATCGGGTTTTAACTTACCAAGAAAAATTGAGAAAAATCATGGTTAAGTCCTTGAACTTTTCACGGGTTCTAAAACTGAGTTGCAACTTTTAAAATTTTTACAATTTAGTCCTCAATTTTTCCCTTGTTACGACTTTAATTCAATACTTTAAATTAATAAAATTTAGCCCCTAAATTGGGGTGTGACAAATTGACTGAAGAGTATGATTAAAAAGGGTTGGAAGATAGATTACAGAGTAAAATAAGATTCATTTCTTTAGGGAAATTGTTAGTCCTTTTGATTAAAGAACATTGAAAACATTTTTTTATTAAATTGAAGTTATAAAAAGATTTATCATGTTTTTTACTGATGAACCTTAAGTAATGAACAATGATGACCTATAGGATTGTATACCATGGACTGCATCTTTCACCTCATACAACCATATCGGATTATTATTATTTTTTAGATTCGACTTTCGAATTTGTCAAATCTATATATTAAAAAAACATTTTGCATAATATTTTTAAAATTATTATAATACAAATAAATGATTAAAAACAAGTTTAGTACTTAAACTATTACTTTTATTCCGTTTTGTTATCAAAATTTTATTTTTTTTAAATTATATGTAACGTTTAGTTTATGTTTTATTTTGGTACCCGTCGTTAAAAACTTAATGGTGATGTTGATGTGTCACCGTAAGATAATGTCACATCATCATTGAAAAAATAAAAAAAATGACACGTCAACAGTTATGTTAACTTTTTAACAGTAGGTACCAAGTTGAAACTTAAACTAAACGTTAGGTATTGTTTTAGAAAAAATAAAGTTTAAGTATCAAAACAAAAAAAATTAATAATTTAAGTGCTAAACATATAGTTTACCCCGAATAAATTTACGAAAAATAACAATAATCACATATCAAGACAATTATTAAATTTGACGATTTAAACATTAAACAAAATGTGTTAATTAGAATATGTTAATTCAAAGTTAAACTAAGACGTTCATAAATTTATTTCGGTTGAGAAAAACTCTAATCCAAATGTGGTGGAACTCGTGAAGCAAGTGCTTGAAGATTTAAAAGTTATGTAACTCAGTGATAACCTGTAGCCTTGTATACCATGAAATGGAAGGATACGCGCAAGGGATTTTCAGAATGAATAGTTCGAATGAAAAAGGAAGCGCAACAAGATATTTCCTTTTAATGTCATTCTAACATAAAATTATTAAAGGAGAAATGTTCATTTTTAAAAGCCTCAAGTTTAAACACGATATTTGTAAGAGTATTTAAACATTTATTATTAAAAGATTAAGAGTATTTCAAACAGATACTACCTTATAGTTACTCCATAATAATATACTCTATAGTTGTTGAAAAATTAAGTATAATATGCTTTTCGTAACTTTCTCAAATTGGGAAGGTAACCAATAGGAACTCACCAAGGTGACAAAAGGAGAGTGTAGAAAGGACATTGAATCCTTTTTCCATTTTGTTCAATTAGGGTTTTCTTTCTCTCTCTCAGAGTTGGCCATTCCCTTAGTTAAACGTGGGGAACCGAAGCACTAATGAGTTTACATCAACAATGATTAAACACAGACCCCACCGTTAGTTGGGATTCAGCTCACCCCACCTGCCTTCTCTTTTCCTTTTTCTTTTTCCCATTACTCTAGTAAAACCCTTAAATTCCAGTCATTTGCAACACAACAAAAACAAAACCATTTTATATTGAAAATAATTAATAAATTGTAACATATTTAATTTGATCATTTTCCATATATTAAAGCTGTAACTCGATATAAATAATCTTAAATAATAATCAATCAAATCTATAGTACAATTAATAATAATGAACATTACTTTAGTTTTGACTATCATTAAATTGATAGTTCAGTCTTAGACAATCTTTCTCTTTTTTATTTAAAAAATAATTTTTAAATCAAATTCAAAAAAAAAATTGAGACTGCAACATGTCTAAAACAATATATTAGAAAAAATAAAAATGTATAATTGCTTATATCTTTCTGATCCATACGAGGTCTAACCAAACCGAATTCTTTTGGTTTTCAAATGAACAAGTTGTTAATATTATTTGCATATTCGAAATGTCATATGTTGTTTTATAATGAATAGACTTAAGAATTCAGGACTGTTTTTTTCTTTTTGTTTTAAGTTCTGATTGGTTACCTAGTCATGATCAAAGTTTCACCAGTAAGTAGAATTACATAACTTCTTTTTAATTCATTAATGGATTACATTCTTCGATAAAAATGTACAGATTTAAAATTAAAAAGCCTAACCAACTCAATTATTAGTAAAATTATTGTTCATCAACCCAAAATAGTAAAACTCTTTTTGTAAATACAGAATCATTGAAACCTTGGCTTCTATATCAAGCGATCTTAGAGAAACTACAGCTTTATTCATATGAAATATAAGTATATGAGTAGCTCTTTCATGTACAGTACTTATGGTATTATAAAGTATGATAAACGTAAAGCGTTTTAGGGTCGAATGGCGCAATGCCAAGCAATCAACGGTGGGGCCAAGACGACACTTGGATAACGTCTCATACTTTTGCTTTACTTCTATTCTACATACAAACCTAAAAGAAAATATGCAACTGTTGCTAAATTTAATGTTATCCCTCAACCCTAGGCGATGCCCCAGACAAAGGCGAAACCACATTTTTATAGAATAATAATATTAAATTATCAAAAATATAATATGTATAAATGCTTTGACAGATCAATTTTATATTTAGAATGAGTAAGTATTTATCTTGAAATTTATTTATTTTATTAATTATCTATTTTACCGATTATACCCACTCTAATCTTTTATTTAAACTCATTCTGTAAAAATATATATTAATATATATATATATATATACTATTCAAAATTATTTCTAGATCCGATCTTATATAATTGGGGCGTTTTTATATTTTACTTATCGGTTATCACAACGAGTAATAATAAATAAATAAATAAGAGTGCGAAGGAGACGGAAAAAGTGGGGTCAAGGGCAAATGGGATAAAGGCACAGGACCCACTTGAAAGAGGCAGCCTCCAACACAAAACGGTGAGTCTAATGATTGTGGGCTAGTCCACGCCGGACCGTTAGCCGCCACGTCTCTGAGCCCCCGACATACCCATTCTGTGCTCTGGGCTCCACTCTCCACTATTTATAGAACAAACTCATGTCTGAAACCATTTACTTCGTTAGTTTATCAAAATAATCCAAAAAAGAAATGAATAAAAAGAATTTAAATTTAAAACAATTCAATTCAATCCCGCTCGAACTAGTTCAACTGTAACACTAGCTATAGTTGAACAAATATACTTTTTATTAAAAATTTATATAAATATATTGATCATAATCACTTTTTATTTTGTGCGGTGTATCAATTGATAAATTTGTATTAACTATAACTATAACTTAAAAAACTATCAAACATTTATATTTAAATAATTTAATTTATTACAATTTTAAAACTTTTGAACAGGATGATCTTATTCGAAATTAATCGAAAAAGAAAGATTATAAGAAATTTTATTTTTATAAATATATTTTAATTAGTTCAAGTTCAAACTCAAATAATTATATTAATAAAAGAATTGAAATATAATTCAACCTTATGTCATCAATCATGAATGCAATAATAAACCCGTCTTTTACTTTCATCTCGGCTTATTGGCTCCGACTTAGGAGCTTAGCCGAGCCAATTTGATAATTTTTAAAATATTATTTTAAAATTGAGTTTCCAGAAAGAAAAAATTAATTTTGGAGAGGTGTCAGTTGTCAATATGCATAGAGTCGGTTCGTGGGGTCAAGTTGCGAAAGCTTGGTAACACTTAAAATGCGATTAAATTAATCAAGGGAAATAAAATAATTTATAATTAGATAGATTAATAAATAAATAAATAAATAATTGTTGACCAACCAACGGGGGGAAGGCATCGCGTGCAATGGCTGGTGTGTCAGTGTGACTACTTTTTCAGACTATATTTTATTTGCGAACCTTAAAAAAAAGGCTTTTCTCAGATGTATTATTATTTCACGTCATTAAAATATTTGCACTTTCGTTTACTACTTTTTATTGTTTTGGTTTGTGCTTTTTACTTTTTTATTATATTTCTTAAATTTTGTCACATGCATAATATTAATGAATAAAAATATTATATATGAAAATATTTTTAAAAATATGTCGTAACAAGTTTAGATTCATTAATTATTTTTAATTAAATTAATAATTAATCAACTAGTGACTAATGGCTGAACATGATAATAGAGTTTGAGGGGACTTACTTAAAAATTTAAAAAGTTTAGAGGTTTAAATTAAAATTTTGAAAAAAAATTAAAGAGTTTAGTTTACATTTTTTGAAAAGAAAATTGGGGCTTAACTAAAATTTTTGAAATTGTGAGAAACTTAATGGGAATTTTTAAAAATTATGGGAGGGGTTTAATGAATAACATTAAAAAAAATTTAAAGTTTAATCTGGATTTTTAAATACTTTGTGGGGAGAAATTGCATTTTTTGAAAATTTTAGGAATCTAAATTATAAATTTTCAATTTTTAGGAAGGTCATGGCCCCAACTAGTAACTTCGACTATGCTAGTGACACTAATTTACTGAAAAAATAATAGTTTTTCACTCTAATTAATAGTATCAACATTGTATGTATTTCCATTAAAAAGAAAAACATAAAATAAAAAAGAGGGACAATATATATTTACTTTCTTATATATTTAAAACATATATTTATGAATTTAAATGGATGTGATATTCCTCTATCTCGAAAACCATTAAAAGGCTTTGCATTTATTTATTTATAGAATGTAGAAAATGAAGATGGAATTGGTATATGGGTTGTTGTTAGATTAATGGTTACTCAAAATCTCCCAAGACTCCATAATTGGTTGTAGATTTAGGATGGTGAATTATCTTACCAAATTACTTGAGTATATAGGCAAGTTTTCAAAAACAAATTACTCATTTAAGTTTAAACTTAGTTTGAAAATAACAAGAGAAATTTTGAATATTGAATAAAGGAAGTCAATGTCACTAAATCATTAGAATAATAAAATTATCGATAGATATATATAGGGATAACATCCTGTTACACATGTAAAACTCTTTTAATTTTACATAAATTTAAGATCGTTGAATGAGTAAAAATAGATGATTGAAATTAACAGTAGAAATGAGAAGACATTCACCGGAAAAAAAGAGTCAAACTCAGACATCTATTTTCATTCATCCACGTGTCCTAAATTTGTGTAAAACTAAAATAATTTTACATTGTGTAGGTAGATCCTAACCCATATATATATATATTAAGGAAAAATATCCGAAATCAAAAAATTTATTTTGATTACCTTTATCTTTTAATTCTACTAGGTAATTAATAATAAAAAATAATCTTTTTTACTAAGCAAACTAATGTAAAGTAAAATATATATTTTTTTATCTTGCTATGTTTTTCACCTTTTCATCTTACCAATTTTCTTTTCACTTCTACATCTAATAAAAATACTTTGAAGTTTTAAGTATTATTATTCCTTTAACAAAAACACTTAGAAGTTTTAAGTAGTATTATTGCAGGTGAAAAACTTTGTAAAGCTTGACATACTAATTCCAGAAAAGAAAATCCCTCAACATATATGTACGGTGTCTTCATTCTCTTCTCATTTATCATTATCACGAATGTTGGTTTTGTAATTCTAAACAAAATCCAAAATCTAGAAAGAAGAAAAGGAAATAACCTTAGCTCTCCACTACAGAAGATGTCATCAATGTTTCTGTACCTGTTATAGTTATATAATTCATCAATGCAAAATGTCATGTAAAACTGTAAAAGAATGAATATAGAGGTTGTTGATGATGAAATCTCAAATTAAAGAGAAAAACGTTTTTTTTATTTCTTTGGCGTCCTTGAAACCCTTTTTAGCTGCCCATCTAACCTTTACCGTCGGATTATAATCTCTTTCTCTTTTTGTATATAAAAAAGAAGAAACAAATTAAGCACTCTTCTGGTCTTTATCAGTAGCTGGTGGGTGGCATTGAAGGTTGCGGTCTCTTTCTCTTTCCTTTCTTTTGTAAATTGTAATATTACATATAAATCTTTTTCAAAGACTCTCGCTCTCAATCTTCCTTGAACCATTATCCGCCTCCCTTTTTTCCCGCAAAACTTTCCCAGTAATCAAGCTTTAGATATATAGGAAAGAGAATATTTGGTAGGGCATCTGTGTTTCTTATTTAACCCTATCTCCACCCTCTTTTCCCATTCCTCATTGCCCTTTATTTTCTTTCTTCTTCTGATCTCCCTCCCTCCCCTTTCCCACAGCTAGTGGACAAGTTCAATTCCCGAGGGAGGGTTACAACGTTTCCTTTTTTCCTTACATAATCTCTTGCTTTGTCTGGTTAGAAAAAAGTTGAAAAGAGAGCGTGAACAAAAAGTTAGCTTTAAGTTGATTTGGTGCAATCGGACGAGTCTGGTTTTCAGTCAGATCTCTGAGGATTAACCAGTTTGAGTTGGATAGACAAATATCAGGATTGGTGGTGGTACCGTGAGCTTCTCTTCCTTGTTGTTTCGTTTTCTTATTGTTTTTGTTTGTTTTTTCTTTCTTTTATGAGTGATCATTTCCCCAGGGTCACAAAGATTGTAGTGAGGGATGCTTTTGGTATACGTTAAGCAATGAAATAATGGAACTATAGAAGATATGATGTCTTTAACTGTTTGATCAGTGCTTGGATTTTGCTTTTTAGCTCAAAGATGGCTTCATCTTGATCTGGGATATATAACCTTATTTCTCAAATCGTATGCTTCTTTCATGGATTATAATTAGGGTTAAGGACTTTGGTTTTTCTTCCCTTCATTGTAGTTCTTAGGTTTTTCAAGTTCTCTGATTACAGTTTATTTTGTTTTACTCTTCTTTTCTTTCCTTCGGGAATTGCAGTTCTTCTTTTCTTTCTGAAATATAAATTTTCTCGTGCGGATCACTACCAGCTAATGAGCTAAAGGGCTGATCTTGTTTATATGTATAACATGCTCATTTTTCCTGTTTTGGAAATGTTTGAGTTTAGATACAAAAAGTATTTAGTTTTCTTATATCTTGCTCATTGTATCAATTTTATCCTTATTTTTCCATGTTGTTTACGAGTTAAACTCTACTAGTATGATCTAATATAACATCCTGCAAGCCCTAATTATTTACCAACTTTCACACTTAATAGAATGGTTAAGCATCATCAGAAATGATAGCTCTTTGCTTCTTGAGAAAACTTGTCTTAGACGTACGTCCAAGTTAATTAATCATCATTGATATAATTAATAGATTAGTTTTGTTGTTCTTTATACAATATATTGAATTACTTGTCTTGCTTTTTGTCTGATACTGTACATTTTAATGCAGGTTTTGATTGTTCTTTGATTAGAAGAATATGAATACCTTTTCAAATGTTCCTCCGGGCTTTAGGTTCCATCCCACAGATGAAGAACTCGTAGATTACTACCTCAGAAAAAAAATTGCTTCAAAAAGGATAGATCTGGATGTCATCAAAGATGTTGATCTTTATAAAATTGAACCATGGGATCTGCAAGGTAACAATAAATCCATTTTTCTTTTCTCTTCTTGCATTATCAAATATGCAGATTGTTTGATCAACCACTGAGATGTATTTTGTTTTGTGGGGATCATAGAATTGTGCAGAATAGGGACCGAGGAACAAAATGAATGGTACTTCTTTAGCCACAAAGATAAGAAGTATCCGACAGGTACTCGCACTAATAGAGCAACAAAAGCAGGGTTCTGGAAAGCCACGGGAAGAGACAAAGCTATTTACTGCAGGCATTGCCTTACTGGTATGAGAAAAACCCTAGTCTTCTACAAAGGACGAGCACCCAATGGACAAAAATCTGATTGGATCATGCATGAGTATCGACTCGAAACTAATGAAAATGGAACTCCTCATGTAAGTGTGTGTGTATATATATATGACTTCATTGCATGACAAAGGTACATTACAGATTTTCTAATGGTTTTCGATTAATTTGTTGTCTTTGTTATTCCACCAGGAAGAAGGATGGGTGGTTTGCAGGGTGTTCAAGAAGCGAATGACTGCAGTGCAAAAAGTGAGTGAATATGAATCTTCATACTGGTACGACGAGCAAATCTCGTTCATACAGGAACTTGAATCCCCAAGGCGAATTCCTCAGCCATATGCAGCGTCATACCATCACCATTATCCCTGCAAGCAAGAACTTGAAATGCAACAAAATTTGCCTCATCATAACACTTTCCTTCAACTCCCTCAGTTGGAAAGCCCCAGAGTTCCACAATCTACCGCAAGCGTAAGCTGCAACTCGGTTGTTCCTTACGGGAGCACTTTGCAGTCGTCGACTCTTACACAGGAAGAGCACATGCATCAGCAAAATCTGAACTTGCTTTATAACAACAATGAGCAAGCGGTGGACCAAGTGACGGATTGGCGAGTTCTCGACAAATTCGTTGCCTCTCAGCTCAGCCATGAGGAAGCTTCCAAGGAAAACAATTATTCCAATGCAGCTACCAGTTTTCAAATGGCCGAACAAATGAATTTGCTACCCAATGAATCCAAAAGGCCAGGGATTGCTCATCAGGAATATACCTCTACGTCCACTTCGAGTTGTCAAATCGACCTGTGGAAGTGAAAGTATATTCTACTCATTATAGCATATATACTAATTATAGAAGGAAATTTATAAGAAAAAAATGTCTTTAATCAAGGTTTCTGTACATGATAAAACTACAATATATGGTATTGTATTAGCTATGGACCTGGGATGCAGTTATTATAAACATTAACATACAAAGTACAAATAAATTAGTACTTTTACTATGGCCGACAGGTCTTTATTGGGACCGAATCGGCCTAATATTGAATGTATTTTCAGCTTGATATACAATATGATGCTTTCTTTATTGAAATCTTTGTTCTTCTTCGTTCATTGTATTTATTTATTTTAAAACTTTTCACTCTTTCAGAAATTTTCAGGCACACTCACAAATCACCATCATCGTCTTCTTTGTAGTTTCATATAAGTGCAGGACATTAATAGGAAGGAAACATTTTGTGATGACGAAAGAACAAGTATATATTGAGCTATAAAATTCTAATAAATATAGTCCAGAAATTCAAAGTTTAAATGCTTTATACTTTAATTAAGTTTAATATCCCTTAACATTGAACTAGTCAGGCGTCGAATAAAGATAAGGCAAATGCCGGCAGCTCAGAAAGAAGTTAAAATTGACTATAATGTTCCTATGGCAGTGCATGTGGTTGAAAATAAGTTAGAATTGGTGCATGCTATAATGAAAGCATAGCACAAAGCAGATTGCAGGTCATAGTTACAATACCCAACTGTGTACCAACTGTTTCCATTTCAACGGAGAAAAATGTTTTCCTCACGATCAAACCTAATTTGTTGGTCGCACCATGAATGCAGACATAACCCGAAATTGTCTAGTAACCAATAGCTATTTAACATTTTGTATCATCAAATTCATTGAGTGACATTAGTGATAGAAGTGTGCTCTTATTCCTAGAAGTCGCGGATTTGATCAGTTATATCTATAGGGTGTGTGTATGTTGTCCATGATTAAAAATATTCTGAACATATATTATCTCAAAATCACCACATACAATTAAAAAAATTCTTTCTCACCAGGGATGGACCCAAGGGGAAAATTTTATTGATAATTTTATCACTTCTAAAATTTTATAAGTACACCGCTCCTAAAATTTTATAAATTCGTTTCTCCTCACATCAAATACTGATATCCTTCGACCTCACGTTCTTCTTCACACATTCGAATCCGGAACATAACATGCAAATGGAAAATTTGACAGCTCAGGAAAGAGAATTTAGATGATAAATTGCTAATATTTAGTAATAGTTGCCTGTTCACAAAAAATATATATATACCTTTGGTTTAGCTACATACCTGTTCAACAAGATGAATTCAGCCAGACTGATCTATCTCCTTCAGGTTAGCGAACTTGTTAGATCCTTATGCCGGAAGTATTAGAAACAAGGAAGCACATATATATATATGCACTCCCTTATTTAACATGAAAAATATCAACATTAAACTGCAGTCTGTCCAGGAGGCAATTGACGACGATGAGCCGCCATGGGAGCAAAACATGAAGGAGATAGCATTGCTAGAAGAATATTCAAGGAGAGGGATGACAGCAGTTGACAAATTGATCGATGTTTGTTTTGAATTTTCTTTTATTACCAGCTTGATTTAAATACCTGGAGGAAGGGAACCAAACTTCAGGTGTTCAGTAATAATGGATGATTACAGGATTAAGAGGCAAGAAAAGTAGTATTGATCAATGGCTGTTACTCACCGGGAGAACATCTTTTTTACTTGGGTTGAACCCAAGCATGACAATGTATCCCTTTAAAGCAATGAAACATAATTTTCGGAGCGACATAATCATTGGGCGTGATCTCATTGGTTCATATGAAGAGAGGCATGCTCGAACTTGATCATGAAAAAAAAAACAAAGCTTTACATTTCATGGCTTCCTCTCAAGTTTGTTTACTTGTGGTAAAAGAAGCCGAAGAATATGACCATACATTTGCAAGCAGTCCATCGATGCAGGTGTGGCTGAATAATTAGGGTTCATTAAAAATGTTGTTTGCAGACTAAGATAACATAATTGACCATTTGAAAGCATGGTTATCAGCGTGCTAATTCATTAGTTTCTGAATCCCAAGACCTCAACGGTTCCCGGAGTCCGGACCTTGTACTTAATCCATTTTCATGTCTATTAACCATTATATCTTTAGTGTTGCTAATATAATATGATCATTTATAAATACTTTGTTTAACAACATGTTGTGAGCACTCAGTTTCACTTTTAAATTTATCTATTGGATCCAAAGGGAGTAAGTTATTTTTTTTCAATATATCACATGCGTAAATTCTTTTGGATCATCTGTCATTTTTTATTTTAATTATTAATTACTTTTTCTAATAAAATTCTAACTAATATTATATTTTTTATTTTTGATTATCGATGTTAAAATATTAACGATAATACTCATTAAACTTCTTAGTCTAATTCAGTGGCTAAGCATTAGAAGACTCCTATGCAAGGGGTCTTTGGTTTGATGCCAATCAATGTAAATAGTATTGAACCCTAATTTTAATGAGACATGTTATCATCTAATTGGTGACATAAAATTATTTAAAAATGACACATAAATTAGAATGTTGATGAGGAGAGAGAAAATGACACATAAAATAAAAAAAATAAAAATTGATATTAATATCACCATTAATATTTTAACGATGATGATTAAAATAAAAAAAAATCATAACATCAATGACAATTTTACTAAAAAGATAATTCAATGAACCAAGTAAAAATATATAATATGTTGGTAACTAATGGTGTGCTTTATCTTAAGTATAATTTTTTGTGTGCAATTTTAAATTTTTTTAAGAGGATAATTGTTATTCCTAGAGGTATCGGGTATGAGTACGTCATCTAAGGGTATTTAAACGTCTATTGTAAAATAGTTAATATTTGAATACATATTACCTTACAATCATCTCAGACTAATGAAAAAAAATTATTTATCGATGTAGCTCTTTATTTTTTTCGTATTTAACCCCTTTTATGTTTTTTATTTTGTAGGTTTTAATCAGAAGATAATCATTCTGTCCTCAAAAGAGTGGGATTCGTTGAGAGATTTTAGGGCAAATTGGGTTTGACTAAGATAAGTATCGAAGAGGTTTTGACCAAATCGTGTAATCGGACCTGAATTTGAGTTGAATCGGTTTAGATTCATCTAGCTTTGGGCTTTCTTGGAAATGGACCTTGGGGCATTGACTACTCTTGGTGGATGTGTTTAGGATAAGTTTAGAAAAATGGTATGTATTAGAGTCGGATTAAAATTAGTTTCTAGAATTTAATTTTAATATAATTTTATATTTATAATTACTATTGTATATATATATATATATAAATTCACAAATTAAATAAATATAAAACAATGTATGCATACATACTAATTTCAATAGGAAAAACAACACATGCGCCAATGTGTTAATGATTATGTTGGAGAGTAACTCTAAAATCTTGAGGCTTGTTGGTAGGCCATTATGGGCCTAAATGATGAGCTTTCTAAGTAGGCCTATCCTGACGTCTAGTGCTGTAGCTACGGCAGTGCCTAACTAAGCTACAAAATTAAATAAAGTAACAAAAAATAACGTACATGTGCCAGTTATCCATTCATACTTATAGTTGGATCTGTGTTCAATTATAAGTTCCTCAATTATTTCTTCATGCAACTACACAAATGTTCCCACTATTGGTTTCGTTTGGATTGACTGAAAACAATGTTTTGATGGCAGATTGGAAGGCCAACTGGTGACGTCTTTAATTTTTGGTTTAAGTAATCTGATTTAAAATTAAATTAATAGGTTAGTTGTAACATAGGGGTTAAGACTTTTCTTCTTCTTAAAAAAATCTTTGAGTTTTATAAATTCTCAAAATTTTTAAGGAAATTAATGTGATTTTTGAACTCGTGTTTATTATTCTTGAGGTGTTGGAAGCATATATTTCTAGTCTTCATCCGCTCTACCAGTTTGAATTGTTTGCATAAATATTGTCTTTCAAGTGGGGTGTCAATACTCTATACTTATTAGAAATAATATGACCTTGAAATATAGAGCATTAATACTTAAGCTTTTTATTTGTTTTAAGTATTCAATTATACTCAAAGTTTTTGTGTCAATACTTTAAGTATGGTATTAATATTCTTTCATTCTAAAATGCATGTAGAGTGTTATTTTATAGAAATATAGATATTTGACCTCAAATCCAGAAATTTTAGAAAAGAATAATATTTTTAATCACTCAAATCATTTGATGGATCACAAACTTATTTTAATATTATATCCTATGAGAACCAATCATATAAACTAATCATTCCAACCATAAATGTGACGTCATTTAATTTTATCCCAAAAGTACATATTGGATGCCTAGCTCAAAACCATAGACCAAGTCCTAAACGCCAGTGCCACCGACCTCGTGATCAGATCACATCAATTGATATGACTCGATTATGTGTTTCGAGTCATATATATTGTTGTCGGATCGTGATTCTAGTAAGAAACTCTGCAATGCTTGAAATGATTCTGAAAATGCAAAATTAACGTTGTGAATATGAGATAAACAAATAAAGAATGAAATTGAAAAGGATGTGGATGAATTTGAAGTGGTTTGCAAATGAAAGAAGTGTGGTGGTGATAATGGTTGAATGGATGTAACGAAAATGGTGAAGGATGGTTGTAGTTGGCGAGGATGATGATAGAAATTCAAAGGATGGATTGTGACCCGTTAGCTAATTATAGCTAAGAACCAACAATATAATATGATGGAATCGAGGTTGAAGAGGATGGAACGTGACCCACTAGCTATAGGTGAGCTAGGAACCAACATTATAATAAAATGAAATGGAGGAAGGCTTCAAGACTGACAAGAAACCGATAGAGTTCCAATCCAAGAACTAAAATGAAAGGAACCTTTCAAAGAGTTTATTATGAAAAGAGTTCTAAGTACAAATGCCATGGAGGTGCCTATTTATAGTGTTGATAGGCACCATATGAAGAGTTTTTACAATTAAAATAAAACAATCACCTAAATGCAATTGAATTCAATTAAATGATTTGTCATTCTTCTTATTCTTTGATGGCTGACCATGTAGATTGAAAATGGATGAATTAAGCTTTAATTTGAGATAATTCTAGCCTTAAATTCATCCAAAAAGCAGGGGTGACTCTTGGGCTGCCTTGCTTTGATTGCAAATGGAAGAAAAGATGATAAATGAAGTCATAGAATGAATATGAACATCCTACATGTCCAAATCAACTTGTCTCTTCAAATTCCTTGCTGATTTTATCACTTAATTTGGTGGTTAATGAAATAAAATCAGCCTTCGTTGCTTGTTTCCTTGTAGAATATGATCAACCTTCAAAAGATGATAAAGGCCTTGAATGCTGGTTATTGCATGTCCCCTTGCTTGAACGTGAATAGCCTTCAATGGGTGATAACATCAACCTTGAATGCCTTGAATTGGTGAATTAAGATGGCCATCAATTGCTTGTCTCTTGGTAGAAGATGAAAGGACTCTTCCTTGGCTCAAACTAATCCAAATCATCCTTATATAAAATTCCTGTAATTAAAATTCCAGTCTGCAATGTCTTCAGTAAATCGATCATATCTCAAGCTCACGATATCGGATTGAGGTGATTCAAAAGGCATTGGAAACCTAAGAGATAAAAGAATAATTTCCAATTGATTTCTGGACCCAAAAACATTTGTATCGCATCCACAATTAGAAGACATTCTAATTGATATTCTTGCATCTGTTGAAACCTTTCAACTTCTCTCATGCACCTAAACACAAAGGTGAATTTTATTCAATCTTTAATTAAAAACATGCAAGAAACAATTAAGAGTTAGTTTAATAAATGAACTAGCTTGATGAATGAACTAGTTTAATTAATGAACTAACTTTATTCAATGAACTAGATCATGAATGAAGTAGCTTACTAAATGATCTAATTATGCATAAATGAACTACTTCCCTAAATGAACTAGATGCTTTAAATGCAATGCATGATTACATGAACAACACACTTATTAAATGCAATGAATGCCACACAACTAATAAAACTCATGCGATGAATGATATCATATGATAAGCATATCCCAAGAGGTAAATACAAACATATGATATGATATAGTGCATAAGTGAGCATGTATAGGATGAAGTAAGGTAGAACTCCCTTTGAATCAGCCTTGGTGAACTTCAATGATTTAGTCAGATCAAGATGAAAGTTAGGGTTAATTGGGATCACATCATCAAGAAAAGGGTGTCGATCGACATCCAATTTTTTTTTTACAAAAACAAAGATATAGAAAATATTAAAAATAAAAATGATATCACTTAAATAAAATTTATTTATTAAATTGTTAAATTCAAACAACATTATTTAAATAAATACTTGTATGTATTAAATAAGTTATATATATTACACAAAATAATTTTTTTTTATCTATATAGTAAATGTAGTATAATCTAATGTAGGTATATAATGGTTTCATGCATAAAAATACTTTAAAATAGAAGAAGGTTTTGGGCTGGAAAGGAGGACAAGATTATTGAATGATTGATTAAAAAAAGGACAAGATCCAGAAGAACCTGTTGAATGCATCCCTCCGATCAAACCGATCCTGTGGTTAATTAGTGAGGGGTTGAATCAGAAATGCATGTCCTCTTCCTGCCCTGCCTACATTATTTTGTGGTTCACAAACATCAATTGTCCATGCACTACACTGCCTTAACTATTTGGGGGTTAATGTATCCACTACTCTCCCACCCAACTTAGAACCTTTGTTGGATGAGAGCTTAGGTTTCATTATACTCTAATTTTTATACATCTGAAAACATTGTAGGTTAATGTATATATCAAATATGAATATTTTATTATAATCTAACTATAATCAACTGCTCAGTTTAAATCATGCAAGTATGCTATTTTTTTTATTATTATGAACAGTGACTGATCCACAATTATTTGAGGTAGATACATATTCATCTTGAAATTCGAATTTTTTTAAATTAGTTGTTTATTCTACCGATGATGTTACCCTAAAATTTATTTGTATCCACTCATCCAAATATTTTGCGTTATTAACATTTGTGTACTTACCCTAAAAAATATTTATAGATCCGTCATAAATCTAAGATAATTATAAGATACTATTTATTTAAAATTCTCTTATCTAGTTAACAATATAAGCATACACATTCTACATACTATTTAAATTTGAGACTTCCAAAGAATAAAAAAAAACTTTGAAAACCATAATAATATCAGAAGCACCAAATCGGACATCAACTTTTGTCGATTTCAATGAACAAAAAAACTTTATCGATTTCTACCCAACCCCACCACCCAGAAGAAAGGAAGAGAGAGTGGAAACACCGACAGCAGCAAATAGCTTCTGCAGGCTTTATACAGGGACTCTGCTATTCCATATATTGTACATGTAGCTAGACATGTTTGTTGTTTTTTATTATTATAAAATTTATAATACTAGAATATTTTCATGTTTAAATTATTATTTTGTCAATCAAAGTTTTTGAGTTAAAGTATCTCGGACTTAAATTATTTGGATTTAGATCATTTTGATTCTGTTTAAGTTTAATTTCTTTATAAATCATGTTATGTCATATTCTAATTTGAGATAATCAGATCAATTTTGAGGTTCCAGACAGATTTAAATTTTCAAACACTAATGCCATGTTTGCAGATTTTGATGGTTTAATTAGTTTTAGGCTACTAATGTTTTTGAAATCATTATAATCAAGTTTTTGCCTCTCTCAAATTTAATGGTTTAATTATATTTAAGAATCCTTTCAGTTTTAAAATTAAATTTTGACTTTTAATTTTCTAGTTTAATTACTCTTTAAGATCCTTCAATTTTAAAATTAGTGAAATAAAATCATAACTCCTTTAAAATTTATGCTTTATTCAATTTTAAGGACCTTATTTATTTCAAAGTTAAACAACTTACCCCATCGTAATTCATTCTTGATTCCGTCCCTGCATACTTGCATTATATTTACATATCACATTTAATATTTTTATCATATCTTAACTATTTTCACACCATCATAATATCATATGTAATATTGTGACTTATAATATATATATATATATACACTTCAGTAACACAACTCCACCGTTTTCTTTGAAAGAATTAGCAATATAATAAAATTATTTTTCATATACAGTTTATTAAGTTGTTAATTTGATTTGTTTTAATTAGCTAGACGAATAGTTTGTACAATATTTAAAAATTAAAAAGAAAAAGGAGACAAACAATTTCTCAAATGGTAAAGAACTCAAAATTTGTCAATATCCTAAAATTATATGAATTATTAGTTGATATATGTTGCGTAAATTAAAGTTCACATAATTATGTCTATTTGAACTCTAAAATTTAAAACATAAATTCTTAATCCTAAAACATTAAATTTTAAAATGGTAAGTGTGTTGAGGTTGAGATAGGCATGAGAGCAGACTGAAATTATGACCGGGACGAATGATTATAGAGAGAAAGGAGTTCTTGTCTCTCCTAAAAATTTTGGCTTAATAATATTTTAAATCTCTATCAATTTAAATTTAAGTGAAAATAATTTTTTGTTTTTTCCCATATTTTTAGATTAAATAAATAACAAATACCTATAATTTTGAATTTAAATATCTTATTCCTCTCAATATTTAATCTTAACTCTGTCTTTGATTATGACCGTGATTCCATGAACACATATGATATGGCCTTTCAATTGAAATGCCTCCGGCTGCTGGATATTCAAACAAACATGTAAATTTGATTCATGCATGCATGTATTATTCCAACATTAATTTAGTATCTCTTGAGATTATATATATATATATATATATAGTGTACCTCCCCAATTTTTCATCAATAATAATAATAATTTTATTTTAAATAAATTTTAAATAATTAAAGAAATCATTGAACAGAGATCCAGTTAAGTAAGAATTTTTAGTTGCTTTATTTAATTTTGTTTGTGGTATTTCTCCATCAATGCACGTATTACTTTTCTATTCGAATAAGTATACGCTATTATAGGACTGTTTTATTACAGTTTTAAAATTATATATTATTTACAATATATAAATATTTATCAACAAACTTCATAAATATAACTTATTGTTCAAAAGAATACAAAATAAACAAAAAATTGTTTTTATAATTCCTAGTTTAATTTTTTTTTGGATAAGTTAAATTTTATTATCTATAAGAGCAGAGTTCTGCTACAAATAAACAAAACCAATCAGAACAGAAATACAAACAACATACTTACAAAAGACATTGATTGGTTTAAGTAATACCCCAAGCAATACAAAGGTTAGAATTTGTTCTATCAGCTCTATTAATATTTTTACCCTTTAGTTGAATTCGCACGGCTTCAATAATAATCTTGAGCAATTCATCGGTTGATCTATGACGACCTTGAAAGATTCTACGATTCCTTTCCTCCCATAAAGTGTAGATATAGGCTGTCCAAGCAATCTTCAGGATGGTGATGAGCAAGGATTTCCCTTTCCAAGTTGAAGAAGCCCGAGTAACCATTTCTTCCCAAGTAGATGAAGCATTCTTCAAGCCATTAAGCATAAGGACAGAGCTCCAAAGACGAACAACAAGAGAACATTGACAGAAAAGGTGATTTCTCGTCTCCTGATCATTACTGCAGTTAACATAAGTCCCATCTGTGGAAATTCCTATTTTGAGTAGCCGATCTCTAGTTGGTAATCTGTTTAACAAAGACATCCAAGCAATCAAACTGAATTTAGGAATGTGCATGGGAAACCAGATAAGATTCTGCCAGGGAACCTTCTCTCTTTTGATACAAATAGATTTCCAAATGTCGTTAAGCCTAAGATAACCAGAAGATGATAAGATGGTGAGTGTAATAGATCGCAGTTTCAAAATTCTATTAACACTCCAGCTCACATTAAAACCTGCAACAAAATTCCAGAAATCTTGATCTTTGAAAACATAAGATTTTAACCAAGCAACCCAAAGCGAGCCATCACCCTCTAGGATTTTCCTAATTAGATCAATAGAACAAGCTTGATTCCAGATTTCAGTGTTCTTTATGCCAAGACCACCTTCGACTTTAGAGAAGCAGATAAAATCCCAGCTCACTCGAGCACCAGAAGCAGGCTTGTCATCACCTTTCCAGAAAAATCTGGAACAGAGCTAGTCCACTTTGGAAAGAATCGAATTTGGAAGGATAAGCTGTCTGCACCAGTAATTCGAGACGCTGAAAAGAACAGAACGGATGAGTTCAAGTCTGCCAGCGTAGCTCAGATTTCTAGCAGGCCAATGGTGGAGCCTCTGTTTAATTTTTTCAATAAGCACAACACAATCCTTCTCCGTAAGTTTACGAGTAACAAGAGGGATACCTAAGTATCTCACAGGTAAACTGCCTCTTTTGAAACCAGTAATCTGTTGAAAAAATTCCATTGATCTTGAAGATGAACCAACAGAAAAAATTTCACATTTGGAGGAATTAAGTTGAAGCCCAGAGATTTCATAAAAAAGATCCAGAACGCTTAAGACACCCATAATAGAATCAGCACTACCCTTACAAAAAATCATTAAATCATCAGCGAAAGAAAGATGGGTAAGACCAATCCTTTTGCATTTTGGGTGATAACCAAACACTCCTTTGGCAGCAGCCAAATTAAGCATCTTAGATAAAACATGCATAGCAAGAACAAATAGAGTAGGAGAGAGTGGGTCACCCTGTCTTAACCCTCTAGTGCCCTTGAAATAACCAATAAGAGAACCATTGAAAGAGATGGAATACCTAGCTTGAGTGAAACAAGTCTCAATCCAAGTAATAAATCTAGAAGGAATAAGAAGGGCTTTGAGGATAGAGGAAATAAAGTCCCAATGGAGAGATTAAAAAGCCTTATGAAGGTCAATCTTCATGGAGCATCTAGGAGAAACAGTTTTTCTACAGTAACCTTTAACCAATTCTTGGGCAAGGAGGGTATTATCAACAATACTCCTACCCTTGATGAAAGCAGTTTGGTTTAAAGAGATGATATCATGGAGAAATTCAGACAATCTTCTAACTAAAATTTTAGTGATAGCTTTGTAAAAGACTGAACATCACGATATGGGTCTGAAATCTTTAACAGCTTTAGGATTTGGAACTTTAGGAACAAGAGCAATGATAGTGGAATTAAAACTAGGATTCATATAGTTGTTATGGAAAAAATACTTTACAGCTGCCAAGACATCATCTCCCACAATAGACCAAGCCTTTTTGAAGAAACATGGAGAATAACCATCTGGACCAGGGGCCTTATCATTACCTTGGCTAAAAAAGGCTTCTTGAATTGCTTTATTAGTAATATCCATAACAAGAACAAAAGCTGCATCAGAAGGAAGAGAATAATTCAGCAGCTCTTTAAGGGAAGAATGATCAATGTTTTTAACTCTGTTGTCAACAGATCCAAGCAACTTTGAGAAAGATGAAGTAACTTCCTTTGATATAGCATCGAAAGATTCTAAACGGTTTCCATTGCCATCAATAAGAACACGAATAGTGTCTCTCTTGTTCTTAAAAGCAAGCATAGAATGGAAGAATTTAGTGTTTTTATCACCATTTTTAATCCACTTAATTTTTTCCTTATGTTTAAGAAACAAGATTTCAGCTTCTTCAAGAGTCTTCAGCTCATCTTGTAAGATAATCTCCTTTTCAATTCCATCCTTACCTTTTAAGGTACGGAGTTGTTGTAATTCCAGCTCAGCTTTTTTAGCTTTCACTTTAGAAGGAAGATTATTAAAGTTTTCATTGTTAAACTGTTTAAGAGCAGATTTTAGTCTTTTAAGCTTAGTGAAGAGAACAGACATAGGATTACCACTAGAAAAAGGGAGCCAAGAGTTCCTCACAACATTCAAGAAGCTAGGATGATCAGACCAGAAATTAAAAAATTTGAAAGGTTTAGGTCTATTTAAATGAGACTCTTTAGCAAGGTTAACAATAGCCATACAGTGGTCAGAAACACCAGGAGAGAGGAATTCCACAAAAGAGAGAGGAAAAGCAGTAAACCAGTAAGGATTTATAAGAACCCTGTCAAGCTTTCTTGCAAGAAAGAGATCCGTCTGCTTGTTGCTCCAAGTGAAAGAAGGACCAAAGAAAGGGTGATCAAGAAGATCTAACTCATGAGTAAGATCCTGGAAATCTTTCATGTCAGAGGTGAGGTAATGGCCGAGAAAGTCATGGTCAGAACTTTCGTGGGAGTGAAAAAAGTATTAAAATCACCTCCAATAATCCAAGGGTAATGACAAACAGAAGAATTCACAACTTTTAACTGATGCCATAATTGTCTCCTAATAATTCCATCATTGCTACCATAAATAACATAAAGGAAAAAAGGGGAACTGTAGTAGAAGCCTGTTACAGTGATAATTTGATCCGAAACAAAAATGACATTAAAATCAAGACCTTTTCTCCAAAGCAACCAAATTCTACCATTGATACCAAAATCATAGTTTGAAATGAAATTCCAATTAGAGAATTTAAAATTTAAAATTTTCTCTGAATTTTCAGCTTTTACTCTAGTCTCCATTAAGCATAAAACATCTACTTTATTCTGGGAAGCTCTTTGGATCACTCTATCTTGTTTGAGAGGATTATTACGTCCTCTAATGTTCCAAAAGCTTAAGATCATTAAGGAGGAGAAGATCCCTTTTGACCTCCCACATTAAGACTTTTAGATTTTTCAACTTGGTCTTTCTTCTTTGATTTTATTTCATTCACAAGATTTGCTACTCATAAAGAAGCAGTTCTGACTTTTCGATGCTGAATTTCTAAGGGGGGTAGAGATGTCATCAACCGAGTTTAGAATATCAAATCTGTTTGTCGAACCAACAAAAGGGACTTTAGAATTGAGCTTTGGGGGTCTGCCTCTACCTTTTTTAATAGAGGCTGGTTTAGAAGAATCCACTTCTAAGATTTCAGAAGTTTGAGATTTGGCAGCATCAGAGGCATTAGAAACTAAAGAAGTGGAGTCATTATCGGTTATAACAGTTAAAGTATCAATTATAGTACTATTTAAATCGACAGATCGAGAGGGATTTAAACATGTAACTTCAGAAGATTGAAGAGTACTTTGGGGGTTTACAATAGTAGAGTTTAGAAAAGAGAATGTTTTTGCATTCTGTGATGCTTTGTCATTAGGGACAGTAGCAACAAAACTGTTAAGATCAAAGCTAGTTAAGGTTTCCTAGGAAACTATTACATTAGGATTAGAACTATCCCCTATTTGAAAAGAAGAAATTGTACCAACAATGTCAAAATGAGCAACAACAGAAATCAAAGGTTCAGTATTAGTGTTAACAGGTTCCTGTAAAACTTCAATTCCTTCAACTATAGGTGCTAAAGAATTAGAGACATTAGTTCCTTTTCTTTTCCAAATTAGGGAAGCAGAAGATGAAGGATTAGTTTTTTGAACACATCCTTTATCACTGTGACCAAAATTTTACACTTCCTACATGCTTGAGGGAGCCAAGAAACCTCAACCAAAATCGATGTAGATTTACCATCTTTGAGCATAACATCGACAGACTTAGGAATTTTATCGTTAGCCCCAATTTCGACACATACTTTAGCAAACTCCAATCTAGATTTAGACGCCGTAATGGTGTCCATAGAAATGGGAACACCTATGGCACTGGCAACATAGCTAAGGCCAGCTCTAGAAAAAAGCTCAAGTGGGACATTGAACAATTGAATCCAAACTGGAATTTTAGACATATTAAAGCTAAGTGATTTAAGATTTGGTTCCCATTTCCTAAGAATTAGGGGATTATTATGAACGTGTCAAGGACCATTTTAAATAACCCAATTCATAGCAGATTCAGAAGAGAAAGAGAATATGAATAGGTTACTACCTGCAGAACTTACCTGCAATCGGGAGCCCTTCAAAGCTTTGTTCCATAAACTGTTAACGATCCTTTGGATTGATGCAAAGCTAGGCGAGGCCCCGAGAAACTGTCCCACTAGGGAGAGTTTCCACTCGGAAATACCAGCTTCCAATATCTCCGGAGGAGGGATGACGGTCGGTTTTCCTTCGAGAGACTTTGGTGGGTAGTATTCTAGGTCGTGACCAGTAGAACAACCAAATAACTTTCTACAGTCCATCAAATGAAGGGGAGATCAAAATGAAAGGAAGGGATTGCTTGGAGGAGTGAAAAAACGTAGACAAACGGAAGGAAATCACCGGAAAAGCGATCGGAAATCTCAGAGTTCGATAGCCCAGCTAACGTGCGCTTCCAACGGTTAGCTTTTAACTATTTTTTGTTCCTAGTTTAAATTAAGAATGTATTTGGTTCACGAAATTAAAAATTATTTATGAAGTAGAATTTAGAACTTAATATTACTTGATACATTATCAGAAGTTTTACATTACCTTATTTAATTTATTTGACATAGATTTAAGATTATAATATTTGATGGAGAAATGTAAAATTACCTGAAAGTAAGTTTTATTAATGTGTTTTTTAACAGTTTAACCTTTAATATTAAATTAAAATATTTACATAAAAAGCATAAAATTATTTCAAATAAACATTTAAAATTTATATTTAACATATTATTAATATTTTAAAATTAAAAATTCACTCTAGATATCAAGTTTTGGATAAAGGAAAGCCCTCTGGCTCTATGTTCGTGCAGGACGAACCTCCTGAGCTACAAAGGATGAAACAGTAAGAGGCTGCCGAGCATTGTAGCCAAATGCTTCGGTTATCCAAGAAAAGTGAAGACGTTAGTAGAAAACGCTTATAACCGAAATGTATAATTTTGTAATGCATCAGCTCTCGGCATTTCAGTCATATCCATTATTTGGTCCACACGCCATTGGACATTAAGGAACTCTTCGTTACCCAAATGCCAACTCACAAATGCATAATCAAGGCTCCAAATTGTTGCTTGCTATTCAGGTCCTTATTTTCTATACAATTGTTGAGGAAAAAGTTTGTATGCTTGGATAAAGAAGATAGGCTAGCTGAACCGATAATTCAACAATGAGCTTTTGTTTTTGAGAATTTATCGTAAAGAAGTTGCAACATGAAACCCACCAAAATTACAGGACCCGAAAAGGAGAAATTCAAACGAACTCTCGGAATCATCAAACGGCGGTACAGGGAACTCATGAAACCCACCAAAATTACGTGTATCGAAGTTCGACGGTGAGAAATTATCAGTAGGATCATCAATGCTTCCTATAATATCCATACTATGAAACCTCGCTTTCACAAGAAACATTAGAGGAAAAGTTGAGGTTCATGCTTCCAACCTTATCTGCGACTCAATTACCATCTCCTCGATCAGATGGCCCGGTAAGTGCTTTAGCTTCTTCTGAAGGAATGGCTGGAATGTGACCTTGGAAAAGAGAAATGTGCCCAAACAGCTTATCTTTCCTTGAAAACGTGGTGCCGCAAGAACAAATTCATATATCTTTGCCACAGTGCTTCTCATGAGTTTTCAGATCAACACTTACTGATAATTTCTTGGTACTGCATCTGCTGCAAATGTAGCTCTTGTCACAGTGAGTTCTCTTGTAATGGTTTTTAACGCGTCAAATGGTCTTCAGAGGCTGAAACTTTTTGTGATCCTTGTTCCGCTTGAAACCAGCATAAGGGCAGGAATACTTATTAATAATAGCTGGTTCAGAGTCGGATTCTTTATTGGGTTTTGCAAGTGCTCCTGGTGTTTTGTGCTCATCCCCCTGACCTCTCATGTGCATTTGTAAATTCGCATCTCTCTTGAATCTTTTGCTACATATAGTGCAGAAGTGAGTGTGGGGGGTGCAAGGATCTCTTCCTTTTTCTAACTGCAATATCTCATACTTGTCTGGTAAAAGGAAAAGATTATGGTTTAATTTGACAGTACCACCAACAGATCCACCGGCAGGAATTGCCGTCAACAGTCTTCACCAAAATTAAACCGCTTGAGCTGATATTGGAGTCTTGCTGCGTTTCAGGCGTTATGCTGTGGAGAAAATCCACATAATCATCGGCGTGGAAGCGACAAAGATCCCTATCTCTTAGGGTTTGCTTTTAGGTGAGGATGAAGAATTTGAGAAGGGATGGACATTAGCTCGTCACTGTCAGTTCAGTTTTTCTGTCACCATAATAATAACAAATTAAAACATTAATAATCAAAAGTTTTTCGATAAGTAAGCTAATGTAGATGACTAAGTGCAGGAGCTTCGTCTTGAAGCAGGTGAAGAGCGCCAATTGTCAGCAATTCTGAATGTTGCGTCAGACTGTGGATCTAGACTGATGTCCTCTCCTATCTCTACAAAATACAGATGCATTTTCATATACAATTAATTAAAAATAAGTGTTTGATTATGTTTTTTTAAACTTTATATGCTTGAATTTATTTTTTTGTTAAGTTTGGTGGTTAATGTTTTTTATGTTATCATTTTAAGAGTTTAATTCATCATAGTCGTTATAGAAATCTATCATCCATTCAAAATATAACATGTGTCACATTTATAATTTTTAAAAATTATATTAAAAAAATTAAAATTATTAATTTTTATTAAAAAAATATAAATCTCTCAAAATTCTAAAGTCCCTAAACCCATAAAATCCTTAACTTCAACCTCATCGGTCATCACCGTCACACATTTCTATGGATGTCTCCAATAAGAGATATGACAATGCCAAACATCAAACTATTATTTGTGATTAAGGTTTGGAATTTGAGTATTGAAAAATTTGAAATTTATGAGTTTGAGATGACAACAAGGGTGATTGTCAGTCATTGGATGGTCAGTGAAGAGTGGATCGACGTTCGGCGCAGGGATAAATGTATGTGGCTCTCTAGAGGAGTAATTGCACGTCTATTGTTTTGAGAAAAATGTTAAATTTAGTTTAATTTGTTAATAAAAATGAAAAAGTAAGGAAATTTGCATACACAATTTGGTTTAGACTAGAGTATCAAAATTTTAGACTCGCATTTTTTAATTTATGATTCGCCACTGATTCTACGGTGAAGACAACGACTAGAGTTGGTCATCAACAAGTTTGAAATTAGAGATTTTAGGGATTTGACTTTTTAAAAAATTAAAGAAATTTTTAGTTTCTTATTAAATACTAATTGTAAGGTTTTTTATTTAAAATTTTGTAAACGTGACCTGTGTCATATTTTGAGTAGTTGAATCTCCTAGGCTCCT